AGGTAAAGGCACACCTTGGAATTCTGTACTTATAGGAGGTTGAGGTATAGGAATTAGTTGAATAAGCAATACGTTTTTTATATAGTAGGTGTTATAGATATTAAAAGGGTGGAAGAAATGTTTATAGAGATGCTTTGGAATGTGGAGAATGTATTTAACTTTTTATTTTTTAATGCATGTAATAATGTATGAATGTTAAGTGTTGTGTGGACCCCAGGAAGCCTAGCAATGCCTTAGGGCATAGCTAATGGGGATCCAAATAAATAAACAAATAATAGAGGCAAACAGGTTTTCATTGGATGCAAAATAGCTTTAAGTTGAATTTGTGCTTTATGCAGTCAAATTATGAGTCATTACCTAATTTAAAGTGTTCATATTAAACATACGTTATGTCTGTAAGATATGCAGGAGCTGGTCTATTGAGAAAATTTATAGCAAAAATGTTTTGATTATTAGGATTTACTCTGTTTTCCCTCCTTGAGTGTATTCTAGTCCTTAAACTGGATTTTTGGACTACTATTTTATATGTGTCTATTAAAAATGTACTACCATAGCCTTTTAAAGGAATAGTTCACTCAAAAATATAAATTTGCTGAAAATGTACTTGTACAGGCCATACAAGATGTAGTTTTGTTTGCTTTTTTGAACATATTTGGAGAAATTTATCATTACATCCATCAGTTGATCACCAATGGATCCTCTACAGTGAATGGGTGCCGTCAGAATAAGAATCCAAACAGCTGATAAAAACATCACAATAATCCACAGGACTCAAGTCCATTAATTAACATATTGTGAATGTGAAGTGAAAAGCAGGGTGTTTCCAAGAAACAAATCCATCATTAAGACATTTTAACTTCAAACCATTGCTTCTAGCTAAAACATGAGTCCTCTATCCATAATATTGTTTTCTCCACAATATGGAGTACTCTCGTCTGAATCAGGAGAGAAATATGCTCAGATAAAGCACTGTTTACCAGCAAAAACAGTCAAAAACTAACAGTCTAAACAGTTGGATTTTGATGTGGAAGTACAACAGGGTATGGACTTTTTCACTAGAGAAAGCACTATTATGAAATGTGGACTGGAATTTCTTCCAAAAGTGACAGTTTAAAGTTAAAACACCTTAAAGGTGCAGTAGGAGATCTTGGAAAATGCTAACTTTAGTTAGCCTGATAGCACTGAAAGCGAACGTCCCACCCTCCCTGCAATCGCCGTCCAAAGCCACGCCCCTGAACGCATTTATGCTCACAGACCAGAGACAACATTACTACAATAGGCTACATCAGCGGTTCCCAATTCCAGCCCATGTTCTGAAGTGAAGTAAACTTCAACGGATTTCCCCCCCTCAGGGAGTAGGGAGCAATGTACACTGTGTAGGGATCCACAGAGGTATGCAGATACATACGTTGACAGGCAGGTAGGAAAGCTAATTTGAAACGCTCGGACCGAGCGTTTTGATTGGACGAACATTTCTTGGTCCTACGCCTTCCACAGAATATATAAATACAGATAAATACATTTAGACCTCTTAACTTAATGATTGTTATCTGGATGTGAAGAGACTTTCAACCAGCATAACAAAAAAATTTTCTGAAGACAATCACCTATTGCACCTTTAATGATGGATTTATTTTTCATAAAAACATGCAGCTTTTTGCATCACAAGACATTAACAGACGGACTAGAGTCTCTTGTTCTGAAGGCACCCATTCACTGCAGAGGATCCATTGGTGAGCAAGTGATGTAATGCTAAATTTCTCCAAACCTGCTCTGATGAAGAAACAAATTTGGATGCCCTGAGGGCGAGTACATTTTCAGCAAATTTTCATTTGTGGGTGAACTATTCTTTTAAAGACATAGTTACACCTGCGAGGAACTAAAAAATGATGAGTTGTTAAAAAGGAATACGTTTAGAAACCGCAAAATTAATCTAATATGCCCTTATATTTGATCAAATAAAAATAAATTTAAAAACCTGGAGTGATATTGTGTTCATTATTTCATTTTTGACATAACATTATTTCATACCTTGTCAAAAGTAAAAAAATTTAACCAAAACTGGTCACGTCAGTAGATCCTCATCAGTTATGGTGATTCCAGACTGCCACACAAGCTGGGGAGGGAATCTGCAGAAAACAAACAGATGAAGGGGCAGATGAATGTTAGCAGCATTATTTTAGTACTCAGTGTATAATAATCACAATTTCGGGAATTAGCCATTTGTTTTTTGACAGAGGAGCCTGTGGCTTTCTTCTCTACAGTTTGTTACTAGCTCAAGATCTACTTATGGAGGAGCCCGTCACTACAAAGTAATCCAATCCAATAACGACTATCCCTGGCTAACCATCTGAGAGCCCTTCAGTTGACAGTCTGATAATCCGTCTCAGGAATATAAGGAACCAGTGAAAACGTTTTGACTTTCTAGCATATGCTTAGTGCAACGTCAAATTCATAACCTAATTAACTAACATAATGATAAGCAAAGTTTTCACTGTATAACTTCATCCATTTATGTAAAACGAAAAAAGTCACTGCAATACATAAGACTTAAAACTAATTTCAAAACAGAGAGGAAATAACAGATATACACGAACAGCATCATTCTGATGTTAATTGGATGACTATCAGCCTGTTACTTGTGTCAATGGAAAGTGATGAATGCATTACGCATCAAGCGTTGGCATGAGAGAAACAGGAGGCTTAACTAGTAATATATAATGTATTACATTTTGGAAGTAACTTGCCCAACACTGTTTATGACTTATGATGAGATGTTCTTTGTGGTGACAAAGATTTCCCCTTCAGTCTGTGTATCATTCTACAAAACTATATAAGCATTTCAGTTTCCAGCACAAACACCCACTCTTGGTCAACACCTTACAGGGGGTGCATATAGTTCAACTGAAAACAATTAATATTCCAAATTTAGCATGCACAGCTGAAGCCATGATGTACAAAGCTTGTTTATTACAATATCTTTGAAGTGCTGTTAAAACAGCATGAGACATGAGATTTTAATTTGAAGAAATAGTCAAACAGTTTTATATTTATATGTAAAATGATTGTTAAAAATATACAATCAGTTTATTACATATAAAATTACATTTATACATATACATACAACCATTATATATATATACATACACACACACACACACACACGACTTGACTTAAAATGTTTGAGCTCATTTTTGCCTAACACAAAACTAAACAATAATCCATATCCAGAAAAAAACACTTTAAAGCTAGGTAAAGACAATTATGCAAAAGAAAAGTATGTTAGCAGATTCTGTAAACACCCCTAATTTTCCCCTCCTCATTGATTCCCCTTTTGTGTAAAGTTTGATTTCCAACTTTGAGAGACATGAGCCACTGTAAAATGTTATGTCCTTGAAGTTTTAAACGTGTTTAATGCTAATGTTTACTCATTTAAACCACTCTTATGACTCCATTCATTTCTAGATTTGTCCACTTGTTTGCATCCACTAGTTAACTTCAACTCAGCAAGTGCACTTGAGAAAGTGAAAGCAATAATGGCAAGATCCACCAGCCATTAGAATGGCTCCTACAATAACTTTTCTTTAAGGACTAAACATAGCGGGTTTGTCACAAAGCGAAACGAACAAAGTAAACTTGAGTATTACGTCACCAAAATAAAATGTTACACACATAAGAGGGGAGGGGGGCGGCAGCAGGTTTAGCTTCCTCGCTAACTGAGCAGCTCAAGCCAGCCATTGGTGGCACTGCTGTAGCGTGCAACTGGCTAACTGGCAGAACAGACATTAGCAGCTGATCTCGATGTCATCATTGTTCTCTTACCAATGCCCCGGACTTCAGAGGTCCTGGTTGAGCTCCAGAGAGAACAAAGGCGCAGGCTTTAGGGTGTATTGAAAGTGAAGATCAGTTCAAAGAGCGAGTGAGGTGCTCAGTGACTGTGGAGGTCTTCACCAGGTGCTTCCATGTCTGTTTACCAGGCAGCATTCTGGGACAAGAACGTCACTGGCTGACTCCAGCAGCACGCATGCACCGAGCACGCCTGTCACTGGTCAGTATGGTGGTGTGTCAAAAACGAGAGCGCTGCCTATCTGTACAGCATTTCTGGGCGTCGTTCGCGGGCTTGTAACGCTCCAGTGTGTTTTTGTGAGTCATTTGCGTAGTTGTGACGCTTTCACAACAGCTTTTCGAGCGTCTCAGACGCGCCCTCGGAGCCCAAATAGGCTGTCTAGGTAGGCGGCTCAGTGGGTTTTGAAACACAGCCTGCTACTGCACTTCGCTATAACGCTATTGCATATATATATGGTGAACTACAAAACAACTAATCAAAACCACACGCAGCCGTCACAACTTTGAAATGACTTTGGCGATATAATAATGAGGGGGAAAAACCTTGCCGTTTAGGGATGTACTGTAGCGATTTGTGAATCTTTTGAGTCGGATCTTTTCAATGAATAAGTTCACTAAGCCGATTCGACTCGCAGTGCAACCGAGACTTTGAACATGAATATGTTCGAATATAATAAGCCAAGAATCGATGAGTGCCTGAGCTGATAACAATATAATTAAATGCATATTTTATTGATGTTCTAAATTACTTAATGTTTTATGGGCTGACTCATGGCTACAAAAAAGAACTAAACTTATGATACGGAATAAAAGAATCGGCTTTTAAAACGGTTCTTTAAAATACGATCTACGACCATTACTGTCAAAAACTGTTATGCTGCGTCTCAATGTGCCTACTTATACTACGCCCTTAAAGTATGTACTATTTTGGTGAAGAAAAAGTACACACTTTTGAGTGTGTAGTAGAAGAGTAGGCAAGCTTTGGGACATACTATCACGTCACACAATTGTGTCTTTAAAGGACCACTCTGTTGCACCTGTTAAGTCTGTGTTATACTTTCCGCGTCCGCGAGTCCGCTAGGGTCCGCTATGGTATGCGTGACATCCGCGTGCCTCCCATGTTTTGTGACCACGGACAAGTACGCGCCGTCAGTAGGCTACTGCGCATGCGCAGGCTTTGTGAAGAAGACCGTTGCTACTCGAACCTGTACAATCCGTCGATAAAACAATATAAAGACAGCCAGATGTGCAATAACTCTGGGCAATTCTTTGTTCACATGTTTGTTTATTGTTCAAGACGATCTACTACGCATGTATGGAACACGTCCGCAGAGCGGACCATCAG